CTATACACAAGTATACAAGATTATACATAATTATACAACATAGATAACTGTAAAAAAATTGCCTTCAGATAGTGTGTATTATTATATATTTATGTATAATTAACGTATGACTATGTATAACAATGTATATAAGGTGTTTAATAATGTAAATTTTTATTTTTTCCAGTGAAATAAGATTTTCCCTTACAAAACTTTGAATTTTGCAAAAAAAAAATAAAAAAAAAATTATAGACTCTAAGGATGAATATATTTTTTACTTCAACTTCCTGATATTGTGAATTTTAGGAAATACTATACAGAGGGAAGTAAAAAATAAATAAGAATGAAAATGGAAAAAGGAAAAAGATAAAAATGAAAGAAAAAATCGAAATCTGATTTAGGCGTGGTTTTGGATGTAGTTGACGAAGTTCTACTTGTTTTCATAAAATGTTTGTGGGCTACCGGATGAAAACCATATTTGTGGGTTAGGCGGCTGAAAACTGCTTTCTCCAAGTGTATTTTCATGTAAATTTCCCTATAATATATACTAATCTATGTATATTATGTGTTTAATTATATAATGAACGTATACGCTATGTATACCCATTAAAAAAATAAACCGTGAATACGATCGACTACTTAAATTCTCTATGTTGGTAAGAGGAAAATTTAGTAACCGAGTTGATTTCTCCACCACTAACTAAAAATAACTGGTAGATATATAGAATATGTAATAATTTATATATCACATCTATAATTATATATAATTAGTGTATACTTAACTCGTTAAAAGAATAAACAGTGAATACGAACGTCTACTTAATTCACCAATTGCACTAACACCTTCTCAGGGCCTAGTTACTAATTTTTATGCTGGTAAGAGGAAAATTTGGTAAGCGAGTTTATTTTTCAATTAACTCTGAGAAAATTTCACTATATATGACATCATCAACTTGTTTATTAGAATTATTGTAGCATACATTTAAGTTGAAAATGAACACTGCACATATATATAGGAAAACTAGTATATGGAGATACTAATTATGTAATATTAATTAATTCAACATAATAACAACACAGTTACATGTATTCACATCAAAAGAGAAGTAAAAACAAAAAGAATTAACCTGCATTCAGGGAGATTAGAACAAAATTTTTGATCTTTGGTAGTTTAACCTTTCCACTTTAACAAAACCTCGTTGGCACTATTATCTTAGAATCACAATCTTGAGATAATGAGCTTCAAAGAAGCCTAAGATATTTCTAATCTCAATTGAATTGAAGTTATTCTTAAATCTTCTTGAGTTATGCTTTTAATTTATGCAGAGTAATAATTTTTGTTGTTACCAGGGGCGAATTTAGGGGGCGGAAAGGGGTTCATCCGAACCCCCTTCCCTAAAAAATTACACTGTATATTTAAGGCAAAATCTACTTTTTACCTCTATATATTATATTTTGAATCTCCTTCACACAACCAAGAAACATAGCTTAGTGATCAAGGGGATTCAAAACCTTTGTAAGGTCATTGGTTCAATTTTCACTAGCTATAATATTTTTAACTTTTTATTTTTTGAACCCCGTTAGCGCAAAAATCCTGTCTCTGCCACCGTTACTTGTCAATTACCAGATTGAGATGTATATTTTCCAACGTTAAAATTGGGTTTAGGCAACACAGAACTTTTGACATGAAAGAGTCAACTATCTACTTTCACTTTTAATAAAAGCACTTGTCAAATGTCAACTATCTACTTTCACTTCTAAATTTTCAGATTATCGCAGCTCAAATCATTTTCCACCATGCTGAGAGGTAGAAATGCATTTTTATCCTTGAATATTTTAAACCTAATGTGCGCATTTGATTCTTACATATATAAATTCTTATAAATCTAATAGATTTTAATTAGTAAACGATGTGAATATTACATATCATGGTCGTGAGGATAAAATTAGTCGCATCTGGTATTTACACTAGATCAAACAATTTAAATTAAACATTAAATTAAAAAATACATATGATTAACTGATAAATGAGTGTGTGAATACACTTGGTTACCATAAACAGAGAGTTGCTTTGGTACCTTTTTTCCTTAAAGGTTAACCTTTTTTGTTTCTCGTTATGTTTTTCATTTTCACTTTTGTAACGACCCGATGGTCGTTTTGAGAGTAATAGTTCCGATCCCTTATTTACTATTTTTCCCGTATCTTTTTCTGCTCATGTGACTTGCCGGGAAGTTTTATTTGTGGTTTCAGAGTGATTTGAGACACTTAGTAACGGAAGCTTAAGTTCTAGGATTAGTCGGAATTGTGTGAAGACGACTCCGGAATGGAATTTCGTCGATTTCGTTAGCTCTGTCGGGTGATTTTAGACTCAAGAGCGTGCCCGGGTTGTGTTTTGGAGGTCTGTACCTGAATTAGGCTTGAAATGGCGAAAGTTGATTTTTTGGGAAGTTTGACCGGGAGTGGACTTTTTGATATCGGGGTCGGATTCCGATTCCGGAAGTTGGAGTAGGTCCATAATGTCGAATATGACTTGTGTGCAAAATTTGAGGTCAATCGGACATGGTTTGATAGGTTTCGACATCAGTTGTAGAAGTTTGAAGTTTCAAAGTTCATTAAGTTTGGATTGGAGGGTGATTCGTGTTTTTTTGTTGTTTGATGTGTTTTGAGGGCTCGACTAAGTTCGTCTGGTATTTTAGGACTTGTAGGAATGTTTGGTTGAGGTCCCGGGGGCCTCGTGTTGATTTCGGATGGTTAACGTATCATTTTGGACTTGTGAAGAATTGCAGAATTTTCTAGTTTTCCAGTTGCTGGTTTCCTTCTTCGCGTTCGCGAGGGGAGTTCCGCGTTCGCGAAGAGGAACTGGGGGCAGGTGGGATTTTGTGCTTCGCGTTCGCGATGGAGGTCCTGCGTTCGCGAAGCTCTGAGCCAAATGGTCTACGCGTTCGCGATGAGGGTCCCGCGTTCGCGTAGAGGAAGTGGTCACCTGAGTCTCCAGGCCCTTTTGCCTATGCATTCGCGATGTTGATCCCGCGTTCGCGTAGGGTCAAGCTAAGTGACCTTCGCGTTCGCAATTAGGCCATCGCGTTCGCGATGAAGGATTTTGGGTTGGAGTAAGTTTGTGCTTCGCGAACGCGAGGGTTCTTCTGCGTGCGCGAAGAAGGGATGCCTGGATAGTATTAAACTTTTCAAAAGCGAGGGTTAGCCGTTTTTATCAAAACTTGAGATAGAGATCTCGGATTTGGACGAAATTTTGAGGGATTTTCAGAGACATCGATTGGGTAATGATTCTTCACTTGTTTTTGGTTATATCACACTAATCTATCATTAGTTCCATCCTTTAATTTCGGATTTGGTTAAAAAAAATTGGGAAAAATGGGAGAAGTTCTTCAACTAAGTTTTTGAGTTTTAATTGGGTTTTTGATATCGGTTTTGGATAATTTTGGTACGAGTGAACTCGTGAGTGAATGTGTGTTCATATTTTGTGACTTTTACCCGATTCTGAGACATGGGTCCGTGTCGAATTTTTGGGCGATTTTCTAATTTATTGCTTAAGCCTTGATTTCATTAATTAGATTAGTTTCTTATTGTTATATTTATGGCATGTAATTGCTTTTGGCTAGATTCGGGCCCTTTGGAGTCGAAAAATCATGGAAAAGTAATCGTTATTGATTGATTGAGCTTGGTTCGAGGTAAGTGGCTTGCCTAACCTTGTGTGGGGGAAATTCTCTTAGGATTTGGTACTATTGTGATATGTGAGCGCCGTGTACGTGAGGTGACGAGTGCGTACACGGGCTATTTGTTGTAAAATCCAATTTTTACTGAGTAATAACGTGTTTCATCTTAATTGAGTTATACCAGCGTGTGTAGTTATCTTGTTTAGCCTAGTATAACATTGTCTACGTGTCTTAAATACTTATCTGAACTCTGTGCAGCATGCTTAATGGATTTCCTGCTTCTTCCTTGACTTGTACTTAGCCTAAACTGTAGCATTTCTTGTTGTAACTATTATTTCCATTATTTTGAGCTGCATACTTTGGACTATGAGACGGTATATCGGGAGATTTCTCCTACATATTTACTTTGGGACTACAGGACGGTATCCCGGGAGATCCCCTGCATATTTACTTTGGGACTACGGGACAATATCCCAGGAGATCCCCTGCATATTTAATTTTGGGACTACGAGACGGTATCTCAGGTTTTACCCCTGTGTACTGTACTGTTATTCTTCTGTGATTTTCTCTTTGTTAAATTCAAGTCTCTTATTACACTGCGATGTTTTTATTCTGCGTTATTTAGTTTATATATACCAGTAAGGCTCTGACCTGACTTTGTCACTACTCGACCGAGCTTAGGCTTGGAAATTAGTGGGTACCGTTGTGGTGTACTCATGTTACTCTTCTACACATATTTTGTGTGCAGATCCAGGTACCTCCTACTAGCCCCACGTACTTGCTGTTGCTCCAGAGACTTCAAGGTACATCTGCCCGCGTCCGCAGACCCCGGAGTCCCCCTTTATCCCTTTTATGTTATTCCTCATGTACTTCTTCTAGTTACTGATGTATATTCTTAGAAGCTTGTGACTTATGATGTCCCGGGTCTTGGGGAAATTCTGTGTATATTCGAGAGTTGGTTATTGTACATGCCGAGCGGTACTTATATCTGTTATTTAATTGTCTGTTGCAGTTAGTTGTTAAATTTATGCTTTCATTTTTATTATTCCGCAAATGTTAGGCTTACCTAATCGTAGAGACTAGGTGCCATCACGACATCTCACGGAGAGAGATTTGGGTCGTGACAACTTTTTACAATCTTTTCTCTTCTTTGCCAAAATAGAACTAGTGATCAACTTGATGGACTTAAAAAAAAAAAAAAAGGTTTAAGGGACGAAAAGTACAAATTGTTTTTCACAGCAGTAAGTTTTGACCAAAGTTACTAGCTTCACCGGTTTCAATGAAATTGACATATAGTGGTCAGCAGGAGGCATTTTGTAGTCATATGGAGTGCGCCATTCATACATCTCTATTATTATATTCCCATCACTTATACTATAGTAATAAACAATGTTGAATCTCACCTGTAACCTCTGCTAAAAGTAACCTTCTTCCAGTTGACCCCCTCCTGCTTCTTCATCATTTCATTTGATTTGACGACTTCTCCTCTAACAGTCTTCAAATTTACAACCACCCAGGTAACTACTCCTCAATTCATCTTCTCGGTTTTCAATTTCTTGGCTGTTTTTTTGAGCACCTACTATGTTTGTAATATGTTTCTTGAATTTGTTTGCATGAGTGATATTTGTTTATCTTTCTATGAATTGACTTTCTTATTGACTGTTAGCAATCATGAAGAAATTGGTCAAAAATCAAGTGAACCTATGATTTGGACAATTGGATTTACTATTATGTTACCCCCAGAAATAGGGTACAAAAACAAAGTGGTCAATTGTTGATGTTTGCACTGCATACTCAAAGTCTCTGCAATTGCAATTTTTTCCATATAATTCTTGGGAACTCTGTGTAGATAATTTGTTGACTTTGGTCACATTATTCAGTTTGTTTTATTCTTTCTTGTTTAAGTACATTGAGGCACACTGTCTGGGTTGACGAAACTAGCTTGGTCTTAGGTTGTGTAAATCTCAGGCTATACCAAGAATATGAGAAAGGTAAAGTGGTGTTTTTTTTCTTCTTTAAATAAGAATAATAGAAATAATGACGTGCACTTCAAATACTACCTCTGCACATACTTGTGCTGGATTGCAGGTATCCTGTGGAATAGTCAAAGTGCGTACAAGCTGGCCCAAACACCACCATCATTAAAAAAGTACTACCGTTGGACACGGGAGCTTCTCCTAGAGTTTCTACTCATGTTTGAGCAAATCTATTTAATGGATGATGACTATTATTTCGTTAATAACAAATTCCTTGTTGATAGTAGAAATGAACAAGGCTTTTGAGAGATTCTAAAATGTTGTTTCTCATGTCTTGCAGCCAAAACCATTAATCTCTAGGTTTATGTTGTTCCTTAGGCAGTTTTTTACTCTAAGAACTTGGTGGCAATTGGCAATATTTTCGTCGTTACATTTGCCTGTTGCAGAGTCTAGGAAATATGAACAGGAAAATCGTGTTAGGCATTTAATGCATTTTGGCTTCTCAAAGCTTCTCTAGTTAGAATATGTCATCAGTTGCGACCTTGTATTCTAATATACTAAAATTAGAAGATTTGGTTGCAAACTGCTGGGGACTTCCACTTTGAGGTGCTAATGTGCAGGTAGAGTAGCTAGACTCCTATAATGTGCTCATTATGATGAAGATACAAAATGAGGCTTTGTGATGCTTTTAACATGACTTTCTACTTTAAATGCTAAAAACGCAAAATATTCAGATTCCGTTGCTAGTTCAATGGCAGCTTACCTCTAACATAATGATATAAATGAAAAGATGTAGTAGTAAGGAGTAACAATACATCATTATAAAAAGAAAGGAGTATTACATACGAAATAACTAATCAAAGATGATAATTAGGTCATACAAAGATTGGAACTGGCCACTGCTAGGTGGCTATTCCCTCCCTCCATGACTGCCAAGAACCAGTGAAGGCTGACTAAAATCTCTCATCTACTATATAGTGCCCTATAAATTATCCTGAATATGCAAAGTTGCAAGTAGCTAGTTTCTCAATAGCATTATAAACGGAAAAACAGAACCTACTTGTGTTTTCTAAATCTGATTTATGCTTTGTGCAACTCATGGCATTTCTGAAATGGTTACAAATTCAAGGTTTTCGTATGTTCAGATCTCGCAACCTCACATAGTCACTATAAGTGGAAGGTGTTTGTTTCATATTCACGTCTTGCAAAAGTTCATCACTCTAATAGGGGAAATGATTCTCTTCTCCTTTATCCTTTACAATGAAGGCCTGCCTGAATCAAACAAATTCTATGAGTCTTTTTTTATTTTGTTTTTCATTTATAGATTTTAAAAAGATCTAAAATACATGTTGTTTGCAACAAATTTGTGCAGAAAAATAAAACCGCAATCACAAACAATTATAAAGAAAAAAGGATTTTATTGATAAACATTGTAGGTTACAATTCTATTTATCCCTTGATTCTTCCCTCCGATTTATTCTAAGTGATTCAAGGGCCTTAGCGGCGTATTTCTCGAACGTAGGACTTTTAGCAAGACATATTTGACATGTCTTTAATCTCTTAATGAATATTTCAAGAGTTTCATGAAATTTCGGAGATCTTAAATTTGATCTCTTTGTGCATATTCCGAGAGTTTATGGAATTGCTGAGATCCTCTTTGAAGGACATAGGTAGCATTATTTATAGGCATGAATTAGAGTTTGGATGGAGTAGCCACCAAGTAACCCTAATAGACTCCTAATATTTCAAGAGTTGTCTTGAATTTAGGATTTATCTTGATCTGTTAAAATTTCAGTGTCTACAAATGCCCTACTTCAAGGTTTGTCGAGGTGCAGGTTTGCTGAAACTTGAAGACGAGACTTGAAGTGCCCGACCTTCACAACAAATAATCTTGAACCTTGAAGTTTTTGATTTGCAGGGGAAGAGATGAAGGGCAGAACTGATCCCACCGGGCGTGCCAATTTGTTTGCAACAAATTTGTGCAGAAAAATAAAACCGCAACCACAAACAATTATAAAGAAAAAAGGATTTTATTGATAAACATTGTAGGTTACAACTTTGTTTATCCCTTGATTCTTCCCTCCGATTTATTCTACGTGATTCGAGGGCCTTAGCGGCGTATTTTTCGAACGTAGGACTTTTAGCAAGACATATTTGACATGTCTTTGATCCCTTAATGAATATTTCAAGAGTTCCATGAAATTTCGGAGATCTCATATTTGATCTCTTTGTGCATATTCCGAGAGTTTATGGAATTGCTGAGATCCTCTTTGAAGGACATATGTAGCATTATTTATAGGCATGAATTAGGGTTTGGATGGAGTTGCCACCAAGTAACCCTTATAGAATCCTAATATTTCAATAGTTGTCTTGAATTTAGGATTTATCTTGATCTGTTAAAATTTCAGTGTCTACACATGTCACTGATAATATTTGGACTATTTTCCTGCTGCATTTATGTGGTTTTGTTTTCTGTAGCTCTCAACTTGAGTTGATCTTTTGTGACCCATGGTTATAGCTGTGTTCTTGTTAGAGTTGCACTATACATGCAAAATTTTACTTTATAGTCAGTTTCATTACAGTGTGGCGCCAGTAAAGTTCCCTGAAACTATGAGTACTGGTTCAACAAAGGCTACTTTAAATGGCTTTGAGAATTCTTTGAGACCGGAAGAAGAACAGAACAAGGTATCTCATTTTTATATTTCTCTCATGGTTTTAAACTGGGCTGCGCTGATTAACAGTTCTTTATTTCTAGCAGATCAATGAGATGAGAAAGTTGATTGGGCCACTTTCAGGTAAATTGGCTCTTTATTGTTCTGATGCATCCATTTCAAGATATTTAATGGCTCGAAGCTGGAATGTGAAGAAGGCAGCTAAGATGCTTAAGGCGACTCTGAAGTGGAGATCGGAGTATAAGCCTGACGAAATTCGCTGGGTACTGTTACAGAACCCTTCTGAAACCTCCCTTTTTTTGGGTCTTCCTTTCCTTTTCTTATTCTTTTTCTGATATGTGTGGGAGAGAATAATGCCTTTATTAATTAAAATTAATTTCTTATGAGCTTTATCGCTCTTAATTCCTCAATGATTATATCTTCGGCGTGATTTGCTTCATAATTAGTGGTGAATTTTTTTGGATAGCTTGTTTTGTGCATTGCCTCAGCCTGAATCTGCAATGTTGAAGCATGACAATAGTATCTGTGCTGATCTTGTTGATAATAGTATCCTCTCTATAGTTTCTTGCAATTCTTTTTATTCTTTACTAAAAGTATTACTTTGATACAGGATAATGTGGCCAGTGAAGCAGAAACAGGCAAAATTTATAGGTCAAACTATACAGACAAGCAGGGTAGGACAGTTCTTGTCATGAGACCTCGATGCCAGGCAGGGTTCAGTTTTGCTTTTTCCTTAACTTGTGATACAATCATATAGCTTATGATTTTTTATCCTATTGATTATTGGAAACGAATTGCAAGGAAAATGAACTTTCTTAAACCGTTTAAACCTCAGCTTAAGTGCGTGGGGTCATTTACTTGTTGATATGTAATTGAGATGGGTGTGTGTAGAGTATTTGATATGGGTGGATGCAGTTTTTCGCTAATTTTTTGATGTATTATGAAGAATTTTCATGTACTCATAGAAGGTCACACCTCTTTTACATGGCTACATCAAGGCAAATAAAGTATCTATGTAATATAGCCTCAAAGCTACAATGTCTATATCATTCTTTTGTGTTCTTTATGTTACCTTTATTTCATGAACTGATTCAAACTGATTATATTTCCTCATCTGTCAGCAACATAAAATAAAAAAAAATGCAAAAACTGCATTTCGTAACTTATTACTGATTAATGTTTTTGGATACACGGAACTAAGAAAAGCTTGATATAAACATTTTGAGTCTCTCCTTGCAGAACACTAAGTCTGTTAAAGGACAAATCAAGTATTTAGTGTATTGCATGGAAAACGCTGTTGTAAATCTCCCAGAAGACCAGGAACAGATGGTCTGGTTGATTGATTTCCATGGATTCAATCTGTCACACATCTCGATCAAGGTGACAAAAGAAACAGCTCATGTTTTGCAAGAACATTATCCTGAAAGGCTGGGGATAGCTATTTTATATGATGCACCCAAGATATTTGAACCATTTTGGAAGGTAATTTGCTCTCAAACTTGTTTATGTTAGCAGTTAATTTTGTAAATGTTTTGTAACAGGATTCTGTTTTTTCTATTTGTGTACTGCATGAACACTACTTATAATCATTGGCATGACTGTGACCTCCAATGTTAATATTGAAGCGAAGGAACTACTTGAAAATAAGGGATAAAAGGCAATTTTTTAAAAAATGGCATCTTAAGACGCCAGCAGTGTGAGGGAACAGTGTCAAATGAGAGCTGAAGAAGAAAAAAATCATGCATGGGGTAGTCGTGGGAACTGCATCACAGCTGGCATTGTCGATTGATGTTTGCACTTGTTATATGGGCTGTATTGCTTTTTAGTATCTCCTCTATCAGTATTTTTTTGGCCTAGTCCTTTACTCTGATTCTATGACTTTGCTAGCACTTGGGCTTGCTAATGGTTATCATGTCAGATTAGGACTAGCTTTTTTAGCAAAAACTGAGTCGAGCTATTGTAAAGAGGAGCCTTATCTTTGCCTTCTGGGGCTTCGAAACATTTTGTCTCTGCATGTCTTGCATCCTTTCCGTAGCAGTAATGACTTCCTTTATTAGAAATTGAGTCAGATTTCTTCTGTCGTATGTAAGATGGCTGATGCATTTTGGTAAGAACCATGGCTTTCCCAAAGGGCAGAAGTCGCTGAAACTCTGAAGGATAGAGTCTGCAGCAGAAAGCTTAATTCATGTATTACAATGCATGGATTAGAGAAAGAAGAAAAGAGGACAGCACTGTCAATTGGATGATCATGTGCTTTTCTTTTTCTGAAATCTGAACAGACATTTGAACAAAGAGAGCTATAAAACATATATGAGGAAAGAGAAGGCATGCCAGACAATTGAATCAGGCCTCTGAAGGAACAAAAAGCCTCTGAAATTGAGAAAAGATAGAAAGCCTTCTGATTAGGAGAAAGACCGAAGAAACCAAAACTGACAGGTGAATAATAAAAGCAGAAGTTAGCAATTTAAGAGTAACTACTTACTCTCCTCCAAAATTTGGTGGGGTTGCATCCTTTGCATGCTGTAATTTAAGCATTCCAAGTTGTTGCATGACTTAAGGTTACTTTTGCTTGATTCCAAGTGATTCCCTTTGGACTCCTCCGTTCCCTCAAATATTAAGATGATGCATCCGCTTATTTGCAGCATCTCCAATTGGTAACCAATTCTTTTAATTAATCCGAATGGTGCAGGTCGCAAAGCCTTTTTTGGACCCAAAGACTGCCAGCAAAGTCAACTTTGTGTACTCAGATGACCCCAACAGCAAGAAAATTATGGAAGAACTGTTTGACATGAGGCTGCTGGAATCTGCATTTGGCGGAGATGATAAGGCTGATTTTGATATCAATAAATATGCTGAGAGGATGAGAGAAGATGATAAAAAGTTGTCTTCCTTCTGGGAGAAAGACGATACTTCTGCATTAAGTGCACAACCAACTGTTGTGACAACCGAACCCTCTTTAGAACCAACAAATTCAGAATCTGATTCTGATGCCTTAGATGTAAAAGTAGATAAACTTTCTCTTGATGTTGATGAAGAGGAATCGCCAATTGAAGAAACTTTGCCAGGGACTGACAGTACAAATGAGAATGCTGACAGATTAAAGCAGTGTAACTGAGGGCTATCTCTTCAACTTTGTAGTTTTTACTATTTCTTTTATTGATGACTAAATGCTCATAACATGGGCAAATTAACCATTTTGTTAATGGTTCAGAACTGGAGTTATGAGCAGAAAACATTTTAATACAGGTGATGTACTGAATGATATGTTATGAAATGAATGTTCTGCCTCTTTATACGTAGTAGTTTTGTTCTGCATATACTTATTCAGTATGGATAGCTTAGTAGTAAAAAAGAAGTATGCGACCTTGAGACGTAATACACAAGAAAAGGTGGAGAAAATAGCTTTAGCCCAAGCCCTTCAGTACTTGAAGCTCTATGATCAGACTTGTAACCTCACCAGCTCAAAAAGTCCTTACCGGATTAAATATTAAAAGCTAGTACTAGTTTATTTTCTAGCCATCAAATTGCTTTTATGGAAAGTTCAGTAACTAATCTGCAACCAAATAGGAAGCTAGAAGTTGCTTCAAGTTAGCACCACGTCTAAGGTTAGAGATTAATATGCGCATGGAGTATAAATGATAATGACTTATTTATGGTGATAGTTGTCTGATAAGATTACAAGTAAATGTTGGAATATTGATTTGGCAATATGCATAGTTCAATGACATTAAATTCTTGAAAGTTGTATGAGAATAGAATGACATCAAACGTTTTAGAACGACCAAAAAACTAGTGTCACATACATTGAAACGGATAGAGTATGAAATAACATTTTCAAGATATTCGGGAAGGCCAAACCATGACTTTGCAACTAATAATGTGTTAGTACAGTGCATACAGCCCGAGTAAACCCTGGGCATGTAGGTATGGCAAACGGTCGGGTCGGGTCAAATAAAGATGGGTAAAACCAAAAATAGATAAATTATTTGACCCGATCCATATTTAATACAGATAAAAAATGGTTTAACCGGCGAATAATATGGATATCCATATTATCCCTGACTTCTTGAATATGATCACTTTTGGAAGAATTCCTAGTCTCCCAAACTTTAGGAACCCCCAATTTGATATTTTACAAATGTAAAAGTTAAACTCATTAATTATCCATTGATTATCCATTTTCTAAGTAGATAATATGATTCCTATCCATATTTGACCCGTTTTTAAAAAGTTCATTATCCATCCCATTTTTAATGGATAACATTTTTCTCTTATCCATTATCCCACCACTACAGAGAACAATTGGTATGTTAAATGGTGCTGGAAGCTCTTCAAACTAGGCTGCAAAGAATATTGTGCTTCTATATCATCAATGATCATGAGCTTATCCTGGAAAAAGTCAACTTTTTTCCTAGCTCCCAATTTTCTATAATTTCATTTCACAGTGGCCATTGTTTGATGAATTCCAGTCAAAAAGAATATGCATTGTGCAAATGGATCCACACAGCTAGCTGAGAAACAAAAAAAAACTATGTATATATGGGCTGCATAGATGAACAACAACACTTGCAGTTCACTGTCTTATTTCTGTCTGTATCATACTGATCAAACCAACAAAATCTACATTACAATTCACAACATAAACACATACAGTACAACATATATGAAAAACCCAAGTTCTTTGACCTATCGAAGACTACACTAAAGGGGGAAAAACGAAAAAAATCCCTCCCATTTGCATGAGAAACATGTCTCCGCGAAGCACATGAGATCTACTTCAACTGAAAGCAATTTCCTGCAAAACATGAAACAATTAGCATCAAGAATCATAGCAGGCGTTTCAAAGAAAAGAAGATCAGAAAATCGTCATACCTTGTCACATTACTGAACCATATTATCTAGCTTTTGCCTGTATTGAGCCAAGGTCTGAAATCATGGAAAAGAAAGGAGTACTTCGTCATAAAAAGATCATCAGTTAGCTGTTATCAGCTAAATGCTAAAATGCAGGTTTTGTAAATAAATGTAACGACTACTTGCACTCCTTTTTACTACATTCCTCTGGACCTGCAACAAGAGGAGGTGGGCTTGGGCATTCTACGCCCTACTGAAGAATATCTCAATTAACTATGGAGAGGTGAAAACCTGAGAAATGCTTACTCAGAGAGCTTAAACAAATTTAACTACCAAGTACAGAAGCAAGCACCCTCAGTTGGCCTTTTTAAAAGGTAGCAACAACCTAATTTTCTGAATCTAATTGTATGAGCACACAGCTTGATACTTGCTTAGCAAATTGTTTTATGTTAAACTTTGTGTTGGAACCCTATTGTTATGCCGAATAAACTCCCTAGTATGCTCTAAGCTATTTTTCTCATCATTCCCTTCAAGCAAATTAACCAGTTGAGCAACAGGTTCCTTCCGGACTGCACTTTTGTTTAACTGTTTGTAACACAAGAACATGGACATATATCCTTCTCAAAAAACAAGAGCGTGGACATACTAGGCAAAGAAAATTAAAACAACTTCAAACATAACTTTGAGAAGTTTCATACCTTGGTATAAGCATAAACCCCTGCCTCTGTTGGTGCTGCAGGACTTCCTCTGCGAATAAACTTTCCCTCTTTGAAAATGTAAAGCATGGGGATTCCAGTGGAAAGTTCCAAACTTATGACCTGATAAGAAGAGTTTCAATTCATAATGTTTCTGAGCAGAACCAGACAAAAATACGAGAGATTCCTGTAAGTCTGAAATTCCACCTCTTGAGATGTTAGCTTGTCGAGATACATAATGATGGACCTCAATGAGTTCCCATGGGCAGCGATCATTATATTTTTTCCACCTGCAAGTTGGGGTTCAATCTGCAAGATTACAGCTACAATGTCATTTCATAACAACCTAAAACCGGGTTGATAATATCTTGGAATCGATATATGCTTCTGCTTACGTGCTCTTTAAAGTACGCAACAGCTCTCTCAGCACACATTTCCAAACTTTCACCGTTTGGAGGAGGAATATCATAACTACGACGCCACTCATGAACCTGCTCTTTTCCATATCTATCAGCTGTTTCCTGCTTATTAAGACCTTGTAATTCCCCATACCTACAAAATAGCAAAGTCATATATCAGAACCATCAACTGATATATATATAACCTTTAAAGGAGAAGATATTTTACATTCTCTCATTTAGTTGCCAAGCTGTTACAACTGGAATGCATTGCTTGTTGGTCTCTTCACTGAAAATCTGACTCCAAGCTCCTGCTTGTTCACTCTCTTCATGAATGATAGTTGGAACCTAAAATTGACATGACAGTGGAAATGATATATTATTTTAGTTATCTGGGCTGAGCCTCAAACACTTGACAGCGGATGGAAAAAACCAAACTAAAAGCCTACTGCAATCCGGAAGCATGTATAGCCAATGCAATAGGCCTCTAATCAACCACATAATTCTCCAATAATATCCTCTATTGCGATACAGTCTCCCTCAAACATGTCATAAGGAAAATCCAAATATTACAAGCTTTAACCACAGAGTTACCTTCTTGCGACGGTGCTGGGTCATGGCAAGCATCGCAGTCATTTGGGCACGAATCAAAGAAGAAGTATAGATCATGTCAACAGGTATATTGCTAATTCTTTTCCCAGCTTCAACGGCCTCCTCCACACCCTTTTTCGTTAAAGGCACGTCTACACAACCAGTGAACAAGTTTTTTTCATTCCACATAGACTCGCCGTGTCTAATCAGGATTAGAGCAGCTTCACCTGAAAGGGAAAATGGGAAGATGGTAATTAGATGCAGTGCTGCGGTAGTAGCACAAAATATTCACAAAATTTATCCCATGAGATCATTTCTGGAAGGGCGAAAAGTATTTCTTTAATGTGATAAATGTCAAAAATGATCACAGAAACTTTCATCTTATGATGAACTTATGATTATTTTGTAAAAAACAGTTCAAGAGATGGACCGCCATACTTGTTTTTTTCTTGGAGTCACTGCTGTTGGCACTTGATGGTGCTGAAACTGCATCAGAAACTGTAGCGTGAGAAGCAGAGGCTTGAATTACACAAGTACTTCTCTTTTTAGAACAATAACTTCCTCCTCTCAACAATCCAACATCAACCTTGAAACCCTTGGACACCGATCTTAATGAAACATGCCCATAACCAGGACACAATCCAGAGTTACCATTACTTCGACAAGACTGAAGAGTCCCAACTGCTTGGTGAATTGTTGTTGCAGCCATTCTGATATCAGAGAAACCATAATTGTCAATGAAAAGTTCATGCAATAGAAAATTTCTTCGACCAATCAAAAGCAGCAGCATTTCAACTAGTCAAGGTGGATTAAGAGAGTACTACACAGTTACACAGGGTAAACAGAAAACAGAGGAACTAAGACTGAGAGTAATGGTAAAAGATTAATGAGCATTTTATAGGTCATACCAATCGTTACTTACGAGGAAGAGGTCCAAGTTAGCCCAAAAAAAACTGCACTCCTTATCAGGGACTATTTCTACATTGTTTCCACCATCAAGATGAAAATGAATGTACCATACACACAAACAATAATCATTTCCCTTTGTCTTGTTTCTAAGTATTCGAATTCAAATTAAATTCTCATATATACTCTCTCCTTATTGCTTCCTTTTCACTGTTCTTGAGCCGAGTGTCCATCGAAAACAGCCTCTCCAACTTCATAAGGTAGAGTTAAGGTCTGCGTACACATTACCCTCCCAAATCCCACTTGTGGGATTCCACTGGGTTTGTCGATGTTGTATATATCTCTCTCCATTCCATTTTATGTGGCACTATTTCGTTATTAGTCCGTTGCTGAAATCTTATGGCACATTTAGGATCACGAATTCCAAAAATCTCTTTTGGTGACACAGTGAATCAAAGGGAGGACCTAACAGAGGGAAAGAAAACATAGAAAGAAAAAGCATAGAGCACAAACTCATAAATTCAATAACTAAGCGTTACCAATAAAATTAGCAATCAAAATAGATCTAATTCAAGATTAGGAACTACCTACTAACTAGTGAGATGTGACATGGCTAAAATAAAGTGGGTGCACCATAATCAATCATTTATGCGTTATTTCCAAAGACAAAAGTAGAAGACACATCATAAAATCCCAACATCAACCCTTTTACATAGAACATATCGAAAACATGGAACACACCAGAAAAAAAGAAAATGAACAGAACTCACATAAACAAGAAAAACAAAATCCAGTTAAGAACACAGAGATCAAAACCAGAAAATGCAGAATACAGAGAATAAAAAAGAGATCTTACGC